TCATCTTCCCCACAGGGGCTGGGGGGCTTTTTTGGAGGGGTGGGGGCGGCGGCTATTAATCCACAGGTAACCACCAATATACTCCGAGCTGTGCGCACATACTCCGCATTCCTCACTCTCAACATGAACGACGAACTGAACTAGCCTTCCCCCCCCACTCCACCTTTATTTTTCCATACAAATAACAAATACCACTACACTATAATCTAACCCGACACATAGAGAGAAAGGTTTTCAACATTAACTGTATTTCTTTGTAACAATTATAATTTCTTTCTTTCTTTTACACCCATCTCCGACTTTCGACCTAACATAATAATGTCACTATGCGTGTTGAGATAGATAGATAGATAGATAGAAAGGTTATTAGTATATATGAAATTATTTCTTGATTCTCTCTCTCTCTCTCTCTCTCTCTCTCTCTCTCTCTCTCTCCGGGTCATATTGTAATATTGTAACACAAAATTGTTTCTTCTCTGCCTCTAGATTGTGCAAGTTTTCGACTCATTTGCCGGGGAGTTGGGACCCGTATTTTTCTCCAAGTTTGAACTGCCTGTTCTAAAGCAGATTGCCAGAGAGGTCAAAGAAAAGTTACAGAGCATGAATATAGAACCAGTGCCTATGGTGGGTCTTCTGTCTGCCCTGTGTATGTTTCAGGGGGAGATAGTTTTGGGAATCCATCATATCTAATCTTGTGCCATCTACTGTTATAAAAAGATCACTTTGTTTTGGATGTGAACTTTGTAGTATCCCTAATGCTAGAGCAACCTTTTGAATAACAGTTAGAAATATGTGAGCTGTATTTGGGTTAAATATTTTTAATACTGTTGTTATTGTTTTTACTTGTGTGAAAGGAGAAATAAAGTAGATCTGATGGATAGGATTGCAAAGTTTGTATCTGTTCTGACAACCTTAGGGTAAGATTTCTCCACACTAGCAATCAAGCTCAAGTAGTGTTAAATCTAAATATGCAGTTACCCTCAAAGGTAACATCACTAATATCATTAGTTGAGTTAGATTTTTTTCCCTGTTTATTTACCCTTTTTTCTTGACCCGCCCCTTTTCAGATTGTCTTTGCTAAAGACGCACATTTCGCCATCGAAGAACTGAGCAAGTCAGGCTATGACGTGGTGGGCTTGGACTGGGGAGCACAGCCTCTGCATGCAAGGTGAAGTGTCACTGGTTCTGACTTGTAGTTAAGTTTGATTTTCATATTACTTGGAATACTGTTGCTGTTTGTGCAGTACAGCTGGTTGGGAACTTGGTCGATGTGGGGTAATTTTGATGTCTAAAAGGGAGGAATGTAGAAGTCTGCTCTTTGCTAAGATGAATATTTTTTTTTTCTGTAGGGGAAAAGATGCCTCCTATGAAAGCTGATGTTTTAGGACTGTTCATAAAAGGTTACACCGCCATTCTTCTGTACTTCTACGTCAGTGTGTTTGAATGAAATTTCATTGTTTGTAATCTTTTATGAATGTCTCACTTCAGTCGTTTTTGGAAAGTATAAATCAACAGAAACTAATTGTTAGTGATATTTTGCAAAGTTTTTGATATAATTGTCTTGGTTTTCTTTCTAAAACAGCAATGTGGGAAGACGCTTCTATTAGTTGTAAGAGCCACTGAGTATACAGTTAGTTATGATAGTTAAACCATGCCATGGGTGTCATGACATGCATCATTTTTATAAGTCCCGGTAATGTAGAATGAGAGAAAAATTCCTTTTTTGTTTTTAACTTTCTTTTGCCAAATTTGTCCAATTTTTTATTGCTATCCCTTGCAGAACAAATGAGCTCTCAAATTCAGCTAGTTTTTTTAATTGATTCTAACACAGATACTGATAGATCTAAAAAAGGAAAAAAGTCATGACATTTTAGTTTGCTAGTCCAACCCATTCTTGCTCTCAGTTACAAGATTAGACTCACTTGCACACGTTTTCTGTACCCATCGTCACTTCTTTCCTTTAAAAGGCCACAGGATGTGTTATCGGTCTAAAATTCTCTTCTCAGGTGTCATTTTTGTTCCCGAATGAAGCGTTACACTTTGTTATTGTAATTCTGACTAGACCTAGAGATGTCTGCTCCACTGAATATCAAGCTGCTGAAGTTCCCTTTGCTGTCGTAGTGACATTTTTAAAAACATTTCTTCCTGGCTAAGCCCAGTGAAAGCACTGATAGAGCAAAGTCTGTTTGGAGATTTTATAAAACTTTCTTAAATTGTGCCGCACCACTCTCCCACCCCATTTGTCTCAAATGTTTTATTTGAGAGACCAAAACTTATTTTGTTTTCTTTGAAATCAGAAAATTGGCCGGGAACCAGGTGACCTTGCAAGGCAACATGGACCCTGTTATGATGTTTGCACCTAAGGTAAGAAAGTTTTCTGATGGTTTTGTAAGGTTGCTAGTTTAGTGGTTGAGGTATCAACCCTTTGATTGTAAGATAATGGGTTCAATCCCCAGCCATGCCAGGAAGAACATTTTTTACCTTGCTGAAGTTTCCCTTGAATTTGCTCAATCCACACAGCTGCACAAGAGCATTTGGCTATCAGTAGGAATAGAAAAATAGAATGGGTAGCATTTGAACGCTAAACAGACCGTCATATGCCAACAAGCCCCCCCCCCCCCCCCCCCCCCCCCCCATTATGTCATAGATGAAAATGTTAGAATTGTTTGGAATAGTAAAGTAGATGTTTGCCTTTCTTACATTTAAATGTTGCATGAAGTTTTTAATGATGTATGGACAAGAGATTTCGAAGTCTGAATAATCATCAATCGATTCACTTTTACATTGCAGGACGACATAAAAAAGGCTGTGAAAGAAATGCTGAACAAGTTTGGCACACAACGTTACATCGCTAACCTTGGCCATGGTGTGCTCAAGGACACAGACCCAGACCATCTCGGCGTGTTCATTGATGCTATACACACTTATTCGGAGGACATGAATGCTGTGTTGTAGGACATGTGGGAAATTCATTGATGCTATACACATTTTTGCTCGGAGGACATGAGTGATGTGTTGTGAAGCCATGTTGAAACTTCGTTGACACTATGCACACTTACTCAGAGAGTATGAACGGCTTGTTTTGAGATATGACTTGAATTATTACACGTCGTCTTGGTCATAACACACTTGCCCAAGTCATTTTTTTTTCTTTTCAGGTTTCTTGCAGTTAGCCTGGTAAAAATGCCCATTACTTGTTGTGTCCTCAGTATAGCAGAGTTTCGTTTCGTTGACTGAAAATCCTATCACAGAGATATTTTTTCTTTATACTTTATCTCAAATCCTAAGACTGATTTCAGAAAGCACTGGGGGTTTTTTAATTAATTTTTTTTTACATCTCATGAAGAGAACAAAAAGACAGTGATAGAAATTAAAATTTGGCTTATGCACCTGAGTTGTGACCATGACATGTCCTCTATAGAGTTTTTAGTTCGGGCTATTACTGTAGTATTTTGTTTTACCAAAGACAATGCGGATTACTTCAGCTGTTTTCAGTTTTGTGTCATACTACGGGCCTCCATGATTAAAGCCACTGCTTACTGGTTATGTTGTTCAATCTCTCTAAGTGAGCTGTTGACGGGTGCTCTGGTGTGGTTTGCTTCATTTTTCCTATCAGATATCTATCATCCTTGTATCTCCTCCTTCTTTTCTGTGTTTGTTACTCTCATGTAACACCTCTAATCTTTGGCACTTATATGACCTTTTGGCGTTGCAAGTGCTGTAAAACTCTTATTAAAGCTGACATATGTGGGCCTGTTGCATCACACTGATGGGTTATATACTGCAGAAGTACTCAGTCTTAATTTTATAGTTATGTGTTTTACTTTTCATGTTTTCACTAAACTCACCGCCATGATGACCATAGTTGTCTTGGTCGCAAATTTTTCTTTTTATTTCTACAAACAACTAACACATTAATTTATAAGCCAATGGCGCAGCACAATTACTAGAGTAATGTCCTTTAAATCGTTCAGAGCAGTTTCACTTCATAAGAACTAGAATGATTTTCCATGAAATCTGGCCTATTTTTTAAGCAGGGCTTCCCTTTTATGCTGTTTATTTCTGAATTTTTGTTTGAGTGTTCGCTGGTCAAAGATCAACAGACACATACACGGTGCTGAAACTGATGTAAATTGAAAAAACTCATAATATTTTTGAGATTATGAATTTATATGATTCAATAAATTCTGATATGAAATTTTTAAAAATGAAATGCAAAATGATATTGTCGCCAATCGACTTTTAAAACGAGAAGACAAGTTGTAGTTTTTTTTGTAACGTCTGCTGTAAAACAAGAACAAAATAAGATAAAATAAAAATCTTTCTGTTCTGCAAAGATCAACATATCCTGCTGAGCGTGGCTAACTTTCAGTATTCTAACATTAATATAGCTACAGAGTAGGGTTTATTTTAGATGGGTAAAAATACTGGCAGGCAGCATACCAGTCTGAGTCAAGGCAGCGAATGAGTTAACACATTTTAGGACCCAATCAATCATGCACATTTACTGATTGGAGTGAAGTTGTAGTCACGATGTATGTTGAGACTTAGATTCTATTTTTAGTTAGATCTACCTCAAGTGGATGCAATATACTATAATATATTGACCAGTCTCCTTTCCTTTCAGAAGTCCTGGATTTAGAGTTGTCATTCCTCAAGAAATAATGAGCTTTTGTGTCATCTCTGTCTTAAAACAAAAAATGATATTTTGATCAGCGTGTGAAATGAGTATTTTATGAGTATGTGAACAATACTGTGTGTGTGAAAAGATTTTTTATTACACTGATATTGATCATCCTAATGTTTTTACCAGGTTTCATTAGAACGTTTTTTTTGGGGGCTCTATTTTTAATTACTCCTTGTCGGTACAGTTTAATGGATCAGTTCCCTTTTTCTTTCGGAGTCTTTGAGTTTTAGAGGTGTCTATTCCCGAGAGATATTTCACTTTGTTATCTAGCACTGTCTTATAACAGTTGTATCATTTTGATCTGAATATATGAAATTAGTATTTTGTGTGTGTATATGTGTGTGTAGTATGTGTGTGCACAAATGCTTTTGTGTGAAAAGATTTTTGCCTTAGATTATTTGATATTGATTGTCCTTTGTGAAAGCAGAGTATGTCATAGAACCTGCATTCTGAAAATTATTCAAGAAGTTAATGTTCATAACCGTAATGCTAGATTCTTCTTTCTTTGACAAATTAAATGATCTTTTTGCTTTTTGTTGACATTGAAGCCGGAGCTGGAAATTCTGATTTTCTAATCTCGTGTTGAAAAAAAGAAGTCATGGTACCATGCTGATACTGCTACGCTACTTTTTTGTTGCAGATATTTTAGACTGATATTTGTCTGTAGATTTTCTAAAACTGACATCTTGGTAGCAGCTAGGCTGCGTGAAATTTTGTTAATTGTTTGGACTAGACTGAGTGTATAATCAAAAGAGTCAGGAGACAAAAATGTTGAGTCAGTACATCAAAATAAATGGCTCATTACGAGGTATTTGGTACAGATGGATGCATGGTCAGAATTATAGCGTTACTACTGTTTATTCATTTATGGTAAAGCATGTAAATTTGAGCTTGTCTTTTGTTGGTATTGGTCTGTAAAGTGCCCTGGAAATGTCGTAAAACAGATTTCTTGATTTTTTTGGGACATAGTTGCTAGGGAGTGGGATTACCATTTTTTTCTCTTTGTTATTTTGGTTTTGTGGTTTTCTTCAAACTGTCCTTTTTGGATTCTCTAAGCTCAGTCGACAATAGCTCGTAGACAAAGCAGACTGACTAATGATAGTCTTCTGCTGACTTGTGAGGCTCGAAAAGATCTTTCGTTTTATACCATACAACCTATACTGTTTATGATTATCCCTGTTGTCAAAATGGGACAAGTAACTGTAGTTTTGCCCCGCATATCGTACACATAGGGTCATGTGGAAATGTGCAATTTTGTTAAGAAGCAAAATAATATAAAAGTTTGCTTCCTGTCTAAGAGTATTTTTTATTTTTCTATGCTGTCATCACAGTATTTTTGTTGCCTCTGTAACATTGCCATTCAGATCTGTTCAGTCTCTCTGCTTCTGCCATGACATTGTAGTTGATAGTACTTTGGTTTGACGCATGAGCTGTACTTTGTTAGTTTTGTGAGCATGCATTGTTGTGATCTTGGCATAGGCTTCTAATCAGATATGCCATTTTTCAAATAAACAGATATTTATTTTGATGATACAAACTGAGATGCGTTTCTTACTTTGTTGTATTTTCTCTTTTTAAGCACAATGAATACTCTATCGTTTAGTGTTTAGATTATTGTTTACTTTAATGTTGAAGTTAAAGTAGAGGAGACAGCAACTGCGGTTCTGGTTATTGTGTCTTGTTCAAGAACACACCCCAGTGACCACCCACCTAATCACTGTGTCACTATCACGTATCATACGCTTGACATAATTGTCTGTCCCCATCGTTTTATGCAATAAACATTCTGAAATTATGCCAACTGAGCCCAAAAGTGTGAAAGTATGCTATTCTGTTGATTTTAACAAAGAATGATATAGGAAAATAATCAGAAATTATGTAAAAAATTATCAAATTTTGCTAAATTATGCGGGGTGCATAAAACCACGAGGACATACATTTGACTTTAGCTCCCTGACCACTGTGACACTGAAGACCGGTTTATTGTGTTTGGAAATATGTATGATATATTGCTTGGTACAGTCTCTGCCTTTTTTTACACCGTTTATTCCTACTTGAAAAATTAGGTGAGATAAAGGGGTTTCTTATATACGGTACCTATGTTTTTCTTTGTCTTGCTGCTTTTTCCTGATATTGATATCAAAATGAATCTTGTCTGTCCTCATGCTTCTCGCTACTGACCCCCCATTCCCCTTTAAACACATCCTTTTTTGTTGACAAAACACACTCCCTGAGTGGGTGGTTGGTGGATGCTCTGATGTTGTTTGCTCCTTTTTTCCTATTAAACATCTATTGTCGTTATCTCTCCTCCTTCTTTTTTGTGTGTTCTTTTATTCTCTGCTCACTTGTAGCACTTTCAGTCTTCGGTGCTTTATATGACCTAATTGTGTTTCAGGTGCCGTAAAAAGGCTTACAAAAAACCCCCCAAAAGAACACTCATTAGAGTCCGGCCTTCATCATGAGGGATTCAGTGGTACAGCTCACTCAACACTCAACAGTACTGTGGCTGTGGAATGGGTCCCATTCTCCTTGCACCATAGTATGGGTTCTATTCTCCTTTCGTATGGGTTCCATTTTCCTATCACGACAGCATGGGTTTTATTTTCCTTTCATGGATTCCACTACCCTTATCACCACAATGTGGTTTCTATTAATACTATTATCCTTTTGTAGTGGTTCAATTCCCATAATTTCATCATGGTATGGGTTTGATTTTCCCTCTGCAACATTTCCACTCCCATTTCACCACAGAATAGACCCTATTCTCCTTTCGTAATTGTTCCATTCTCCTTTCACCACATTGTAGGTGGTTGTACAGCGCTCTGGCATCAGCAAATAGACGCTCGTTCAGTTCAGTGACAATATTGTCATTTGCTGCTTTCGTGATCTTGTCTATGTAAGTGATGAAGAGAAGTGGAGAGAAAACACACCCTTGTTTCACCCCTGACCTAATGGGGAACCAGTCCGACAGTCCCTCTTTTGATCTAATTACGGCGCACAGGCTGTTTTTATAAAGTGCCATAGTGCCATGATGTACTCTAGCAAAGGTCCTGTTACACTATATTCTTCTAGGACTTCCCAAAGTTGACATCTATTTACCCGGTTGAACGCCTTTTCCTGGTCCACGAAGACGATGTTGAAAAAAAAAGGAGGGGGAAAAATTAGGACTATAGATGTTTCAAACAAAAGAAAAAGAACAACGAAAAGAGCACCTGCCAACCACTCACACGATGGGAAGAGGGTGTCACACGATAAAAGTAGGGGTAAATACAATTATCATGATGATAATGAAAAATGTAGGTGGGGTTTTTGTTTTGCTTTTTGTTTACGCCCCACCAACACTGAACAAAACATTTAGGAGGAGCGGGCTGCTTTGACCCTGCCTGCCAGTGCTAGCCCAGTCGGTGAGAGATACAAAGATCCCAACAGAAAGACCGCAAGATGATACTCAATTGAAATTCTCCTCGCTTTGAAATTGAACTGGGGTCTTTTTGTGCGCAATGGTGAAATGCCTGCATACTGTGAGCTTCTAATTTAGAAAAGCAAAATAAGCACATTGAATATTTAAACGCGTACTGGACATGCGTATGCTGCATTAGTCCTATAATATTAGGTGTTAGTCTACTCGTGAGGAAGAACAAAAGGCTTGTACGACACCCCCCCCCCCCCCCCCCACCAAACCCCAAAAAACAACATTAGGCCAAAAAATCTTCAAGTTTAAAAAACAAATGCCTTATCATTATTTTCTTTAGATCTAGATGGGTTTGAAAAAGGAACAACTACCACTGCTAGTTTTCAATCTTGGATGAGCCATGGGGATTCAAAACAAAAGGAGGCTGGGTTTTTTTCGGGGGGGGGGGGGGCGCTGACAAGACCTGCTGTTCAAATCTGCCAGCAAGCGGAAAGTGGAAATCGTGTATAATATAAACATACAATGCAAAAGATTATATTGTGCAGGTCATGCTACAACACAAGAAGAAGATCATCCATGTACCACATAATGCGCTTGTTTACGTGTGTTTGTTAAGGATTATGAATTTTGTTTTTTTAAAAAAGAAAAAGAGTAACAATCTCGGGAAGTGCCATGCGTAAAATAACGTCTGACTGTTAGAACTGCCATAAGAGCCAAGACATTGGATCAGCAGCTCGATCCTCAAATCGTCAGCATTCAGCATAGCATTCGATTTCGATTCAGCGTCCCGAGGAAGTGGGAAAAGTAGATCTTCTACAATCTAGATCTAGATCTAGACCTGGAGTGTAATCTCTGAAATAAGTGGATATAATTTCTTTCTGATCGGTTGATCTCTCGGAAAAATAACTGGGTAAGATTGAACTTTGGTGGACCATCACCGAACGAGGCCCGAACTACTTTTGAGATTCGCTGTGCAATGCCATACTCAGATTGAGATACATACACACTAGATCTATATACCGCTCTTCTAACGTCTTCTTGTCTTATTTTATGCATGCATTAACCATGTTGTTTTGTCATATACAGTAGTCGAACCTGCCCTGACGGCCACCTCTATAAGACGACCACCTGTACAAACGGCAACTTTTCATTCCCCCCCCCCCTTGCGTTTTTTCTATATAATTTTAACTGTGTAAAATGGGCACCTGTCCAATGCGGCCGCGTCCACCATATTTTAACACACAACCCCTATCACACAAAGCAATAATACCTGTCTTAGACGGCCTCCTTAGTGTCTCCATTACGATTTGTCATAAATTGTGCATTGACCCGTGGCCTTGTGGGCGAGCCGTCATAATCCAATCACCTGTCGTTGTTGTTAGGTAGTCGGATCCCTCCCAACCAATCATGTTGCGTAGGCCCCTCCCACTGTTGACCAATAGGTACCAATTTCCAGCTGCTGGTGAGGGAAGCGTGTGATCCCTCATAACCCATGCCCCGCCCAGAACTCATACACAAATCCTAAGTGAGATAAGTGGTCACTGTTTACCCAATCTGTAACAAAGTAACAATGGACGTCAACATGGACTTGTGACAGAAGCGTCGCTCGTTCTTCGAGTGGTAGCGACCCATATGTTTGTTCTACCATAGGACTCGGTCCTCCTTGTCTGACACATTTAGTTTTATTGTCACCCTTGCACAAAATCAGCAACAAAATAACAAGCAAAATACAAACCATCAACAACAGCAAAAACAACAATAATGCGGCTACTTTCGATTGGGAATGGGGTTTGTTTTCTTCATCTTGATCAGTCAGGTCCTGCCTAAGATGGCCACCTGTCTTATACGGCCACTTTTCTCCTTGACAATGGGTGGCCGTCTTACACAGGTTTGACTGTATATTATTGTTGCCGAGGGGCTGCCCCCTGAAACTTCTCTCTCACAGGGGGACAAGCCCCCCTGAAACCCCACACTGTTGTATTATGGCTAGTGCTCATTAATACACATGTAAACACGGTGGGTCCACCAAAGTTATTGGGCGGAATTCTGTAAGGAGCAATCCACTATGAAACAGAGTAGAATAGAGAGAGGGTTAGGGTTTGGTGTAGGGTTAGGTTAGGGGGTTGGGTCAGGGTAAGGGTAGGTCTGTTCTAGTCTACATATCGTTTGTTGGGGTGGTCGCTCATTACAGAAGTCCTTCCGTATTATAATTAGTGTCCGCCTAGCTGTGGTTGTTAATTTCAAAGAAAAGCCCCCCTCCCCCACCCCCTTCCTCACGTATACTTCACATACACACACACACACAAACACACACACAGGCACACACACGCATACACACACACATTCATAAGTCATAAGTCCTAATTGCAGGATGTGGTTTGTTGAAAGCAGTGTTTGAGCATCTCTGCGGTAATGTCACAAGATGGCTCATGAGACTTTTCCTCTCTAACTCTAACTTGATGAGAAGAGTGTAAACCATGCTCCTGTACTCAGCATAGTGCAATTTTTGCTGGGGATAGCTACATAATTCTATATATGTCACATGTGCTCTTATGTTAGGCGCTTTCTGTCGATTATGCGATTTCGGTGGATCATGTGGATCGCGCAACGCATTTTATGGATCCACGGAATGCGCAACAATCCATCGATTCTTGCGCATTCTGCAAATACACAGAATGTGCCTAACATAATTTATATTTGATACTTTTATTAGGCCTCTATATTATTTTATGGTCCGATATCGCTGCACGCTGTTATTAATAGTTACAGAAAACAGGTTTTAAAGTTTAGTATGATATAACAATATTCACATTTTATTTGTTTTCTGCAAGAAATCATAGGTCAATGGTTCTGACTTTGTATTAGGCTGTATGATAACTGTTCACCTTTTCTTGAATCTATCATACATTGTTTTATTTTGAATGTTTCCTTTATAGTGCATATTATATATGTTCTGTATTCTTTTACAGCTATTTTTATCCCAGCAGACCGTCTTAGAACACTCAGAAACATTCTCGTCTTCCCGGGAAGCATACTACAGTGCAAGCTGCGGATTACTCACGCTCAAACACTATCAAACTAACAATATCTTTCACTGTCTATAGAAAACCTCAGAACAAGTAATGAAACTACAGTCAGTGATCCATATGATATCATGTTTCTAACAACAGACAGATATTTAGAAGTATCACAGTGTTCAGTCCTATAATGTAGTTTTCATCATGACTGTATGGTTATGTGTTATATGATATAAGTTCTTATTCTCTGTACGTTATGTGGTGTACCCCATATTATTTCATGTTATGTCGTACTTGTGTCATTCATTGTCCTTGTAAATCTCTGTTCACAGATGAAATCATTATCTTCCGTTTATAATAAATTATGAACTACACAGAGAAGTCTTTCTGCAATGACAATGGGTAGATTCTTTGTTTGATTCTCAAGGAGCGTTTTTTTTCTTCGTTTTATTTTCAGTTCAGGCAAAAGAAAAAAAAAATGCAAGCTATTGCTTGTCATGTTCTGCTGTGGACGAGCGTCCTAGGACTGATGACGTTGTCTTGCATGGATGGTGCTAGAGTAGAGACTGGAGAAGATCACGTCGACCCCTTTGACATCCTGAACTTTGACCCTGCACATGTGCGCATGACGAAAGTAGGTCTTCTTTTGTTTGTCAGTTAACACACTTCTTGAATGGAGCTGTTTTAGATTTATAGAGGTTTTACGGCGCTCGCAACTGCATAAAAGGTCATATGAAGGCCAAAGGGTGGATGTCAACAGAGAAGTCCTTACAGGGAATCGGGCTTACTCTGCTCACCTTTCTAACTTCAACAGCACAAAGTCTTCTTCGACTATCAAGGCACCCCGGAAATAGTAAGTCACAAGAGAATGACAAACATACAAAAGAAGTAGAGGAAAATGACGGTAGTAAGGATTAGGAAAGAAAAAGCAGCAGTTCCCTGTTGCAGTTTAGGCACAGTTATGAGTATGACATTGATGAATGAGCCCATTTACAATTTACAATTTTACTGTGCATAAGAACATGTTAATGTCCCCCCTTTGGGGATGGCTTAAAGACACTTCAATCAGTAGCACCGCCCCGGGGGGTCATGGAGCTGTTATGGAGTGGAACAATGTGTGTGTCTTTATGTGTGTGTGTGTGTGTGTTTGTGCGTGTGTTTATTTTAATTGTATTGAGTTACATTTACCGTGTTTTGCCCTAGCTGTGTAATTATTTTCTTGAAAATTTTTAGCTCACAAAAAAACCCTTTTGATTTAACTCTTTATCTCCAAAGGGGGTAAACCCACTATGCCGGGGCCGTTTTTTTGGTACTGAATTAAAAAATAACAAAAAGGAGACTAAATGGTCATTAAATCAAAACAAGTGAACTTATGTTGATAGTTCTTCATCTAATTAATAAATTCCTAGTAGAGGAAACCTGTTTTCAGCAATTGCCGAGAAGTAATTTGATGTTGAAGTCATCATAAAGGAATGTGGCCGACCCACTGTCAGCAGCTCACCGGCACAGTGGTTCCGACCGCGAGGTGCTAGGAGCGGCTTGCCAGAGATAAAGAGTTATGTGATAAGAGAAGACAAAAGTCACCACACAGTACTTTTATGCTTTTTAAATTTATAGTGTGTGCTGATTCCTGATTTTTTTATAGAGGATGCCCAAATAGACCTCGTGTGATAAGAGTGCTTCAGTTTTGAATACTTTTGATATGATGTAAAGATTTTTTACGTCCAGTTTTTTATTTATATATCAATTATATTTTCTCAGGATCCCAAAGATTCTCAAAATACAAAGGAACATAAACATCCATATGAAAATCCTCGTGAAAATCCCACTGACCTGGAAAATCAGAGAAAAACAACGAAAGAAGATGAACAAGGATCTAACAAGGATGAGATTCCAGGGGGCCAGAAAGCGTCTGAAGTGGGTGCGTCTCAGACGTGTGGATCTCTGACAGCTCTCTTCAAACAGTACCTGAAACAATTGTTGCATCTTCTGGAACCTCTTGTAAGTTTGTTAATGATAATAATAATAATAATAATAATAATAATAATAATGATGATATAAAAATATAATAGATCTATAGAAGATAGCATAGAGCCCAGGTTCCCACTCAACAGCAAGCTCTGTACTAGGGTTATTTGCAAGTCTCTGCAATGGTTGACAGAGTGGTCCATTTAGGATAGTAAAATGAACAGTAAGCTGTGGCAAATAGCAGTAGTCTGCACTGTCTGTTTCTATGACGAGTATTTATGTGGATATTTTTATACGGGGCTTAGTCTGCTTAGTTTAGCTTCAAGTAAACGTGAGGCATATTTAATTTCAGTTGTAGGTAAATAGGCCATATTTCGATTTTTGACTTTTTCAGACATTTCTCAATGCAAAAACATTTGGTCAAGGTCACTGAAAAAAGGGTACCAGAGTGAATAAAATGATGACTTCAGTCAGGACAGAGAATTTGTTCTTGAAGTTATATTCAATGTAATGTTTTTTCAGGTTGGCTCAGTTGGCGGAGAGCATGACGTGTGTCTCAAGGTCAGAGTGACCTATCATGACCTGGCTGTGTTTAGACGATTTGCCAACTCTCACTCTCTCGATGTCCACGATGTTCACGAGTCTTTGAGTCACATACTACAAGATGCACAGAAAGTGACGGCCGCTGGGTCGCGGGTTTTCTGGCTGGAGGAGAAACTGGGAGTGTCCAGTGCCAGCCTGGGACAGGTAACCTCAACAGTAGCTTGACCCCTTGTCGACCTATTTATGATGACCCTGTCTGGTGGTTTTTGGCATGGTTGTTTTCTTTTATTTATCTTTTTTTTTAACTCACTCTTTCAGCCTTATATACGGGTAATGTGAACAGTACAGTAGCAAATCATTTTCAAATTATTTGTGCCTACCTGATCAGTTAGTTTCTGGCATGGTTCTTTCCTTTTTTTAAATTTACGGTACTCTACTCGTACATAGTGGCTTACACTGCCTTGACTTTGATCTTCTATGGTGTCTTTTCCTTGCCCGGTAAGAACACTAGACTTTTATATTTTTCTTCTGTCAGAGAGTACAAAAGTTTACGTCTTATCTATCCGCCCTAGGACAGCCATACTGTCTCCTGTTGGTCCTACTTTTTCTTCTTCTTTTTTTTTTCTTTCTTTTTAAATTAAAAGTTTTACGGCACTTGCAACACAGTAAAGTCATATAAGTTTGTTTTAGTAAGGTTTTACGACAATCACAACTGCACTAGGTCATATGAGCGCCAAGGGGTGGATGTCAATAGAGAAGTCCAAACGGGGAATCAGGCTTACTCTGCTCACCTCTCTAGCCTGAACAGCACAAAGTCTGCTTCGACCATCAAGGCACCTCAAAAATAGCAGTTCATTAGAGAGTGACAAACATACAAAAGAAGTAGAGGAAAATGATGATAGTAAGGATGAGGAAAGAAAAAGCAGCAGTTCCCCCTATGTTGTTCTGGCACAGTATGAGCATGAAATTGATAAATCAGCTCATTTACAATTCCTCTGTGCATAAGAACATGTTACAATCCCCCCTTTGGGAATGGCCTAAAGACAACTTCAGTCAGTAGCACTGGCCCGGTGGGGGTATCATATAAGTGCCGAAGAATAGATTATGTGTTACAAGAGAGTAACATACACAAAAGAGAAGGAGGAGAGATAAGAGCGAAGGAGCAAACCACACCAGAGCACCTGCCAACCACCCACCTACTTCTTCTTTGTGCTCTGTCTCTGTATTGTCTTTGTCTCTATGACTCATGACTTACGGCACTCGCAACACTACTGTCCCATTTGGTAGGTGGTAGGTCCTACTTCTTTTCCTTTTTTCTTTCCTTTTTTGTGTCTGTGTGGGTGGTTGGAGGGCACTACAGATAGATCTTTCTTTTTTCCTTCCCCTGTGTTGTTAGTGTGTATTACTGTTCCCAGCACTAGTTAACTGTTACTGTAATTATGTGCTTCCCTTTGCTCTCCCTGAATGATGATTATTGTGTGCATGTACTTCTGTTGACTCACACTAAATGACTGTCCCCCCCAGGGCTATGCTACTGACTGAAGTTGTCTTTAGGCCATTCCTAAAGGGGGGATATTAACATGTTCTTATGCTCAGTAGAATTGTAAATAGGATGATTTATCAATATCATGCTCTTACTGTGCCGGAGCAACTTAGGGGGAACTGCTGCTTTTTCTTTCCTCATCCTTGCTACTATCGTCATTTTTCCTCTACTTCTTTTGTATGTTTGTCACTCTCTTGTGAACTGATATTTGCGGAGTGCCTTGATAGTTGAAACAGACTTTGTCTTGTTGAGGCTAGAGAGGTGAGCAGATTAAGCCTGATTCCCTGTAAGGACTTCTCTGTTGACATCCACCCCTTGGCACTCATTTGACTTTATGCATTTGGGACCGCTGTAAAACCTTTCTAAAACTAAAACACTTATCATTTTTGTCTCACTGCAGATCTCCATCATTGTTTCGGCAGCAGCGTTTCTGTTTCAAGCTCTCCGAAGAATGAACTGGAAATGGCTACCGTTCATATTGTTCGCTGTGAGCGCAGTCTTTACTTGGTTTGAAATGTTCCAGGTTGGTATTCTTTTTTGTCTCTCTGGGTGGGTGGCAGGTGTTACTGGTTGATTTTACATCCTTGTCTTCTCCTTCTGTTACTTTTGTTTATCAGTCCTGTTACCAATGAATGTTTTTATGTCAATGTGTCTGTATTTGTTACCTGCATCCAATGACCATTATTGTGATGGTGTGTCAATATGTGTCTATCCCTGGATTCAATGACTGGCATTGTTCCACTCTATTTGTTTTTTCAACACAAACACAGACACAATTCTCTTTATTTGTTTTCCAATGGCTTGCTCTTTTCTATGCATTTTCTCCTTCTTTCCACCCTCCTTCCTTGTCTTTTTCTTCTGTATTCCTAGTTTTGGTAGTCATGTGTTGCGATGCGGGGGAATCTGACGCTTGTCAATTTTTGGGCAAAAGAGATAGTAATATAATCTTAACGCTTGTTCATTTGTCTTGCATTTGATGAAAAAAAAAATACCAGTCTATCTTGAATAGAAGTCGAGATATTTACGAAAGGGGGCGCCAGGTTTCAGAGGTAAAAAATTAGCGAGGAAATGTTTGTCTGTCTGTCTCTCTCTCTCTCTCTCTCTCTCT